TTATGGTTAGATGGAAGTGAGAAGTAGAAAGGTGCTATTGCAGTGAGGAGACTCTAGGTAATGATGATGATGTTGGTATATTCCCTAAAGCTATAAGAAAGTAGTTTGAATGTTTTCACCACAGAAATGATAAAGCATTTGAGGAGCTGGAAATGCTTAATCTGTTTTAAACATTGCATGGTATTTATGTGCATCCAGTGATCCCATGGTACTCACAAATATGTGTAATTTTATTTGTTTGTTAGTAGTTTTAAAAGCAAATTCTACATTAATAAATTTAAAATAAAATTAAAATATGTATATATTTAAATTCATAAGTCAACTTTAAACACGTCATAGTCATTGAAACATTAAGATCCATAAAATGTGAAGACTGTCTTCAAATAAAATAATGTAACTTTAAAAACAGAAGGTAATGAAAGAATATTCATGGACAAGTCCCAGTTAAGCAGAGGTGGTGGTGAATTTTAGTGTGAGGAACATGGTCTGGAAAGATTCGAATCCACTCCACGTTGACTGTGTCACCGAAACACAGTTTTGCAAGGAGGAATTAGAACACAGTTTCTATCAGACAGGGATTGGAGGGCTGGCTTTGTTAGATGGTTGTGAGCAGAATTAGCATCCCAGAGATAGCTCACTCATCTAACAGACACTCTGTGCTTATTGTTGTGCTGGAGACACAGTCTGCTACTGCTCTCTATTTTAGAGATGAAGAAACTAAGACACGGGAAGTTAAGAAATTGGTCCACGTGCAGACAGCTAGTAAACAGCAGAGCTTGGGCTCAAACTCAGAGTTCTGACTCAGGTTTCTCAGGGTTTTGACTCTATGCTCTCATGAACCCTCCATTAAAAGAAGGACTTAGGTGTACAGTACTTCCTCCTTATTTGCACCTTTGTTTTCTGTAGTTTCAGTTATCCATTGACAACCATACTCTGGGAAATTCCATCTTGTGCCACTCCAATTAGCATGATAAAATTTCACACTATCTAGTCATTCCTTAGTCCAGTGCATCCACGTGGTATATGCTGTCCACCTGTTAGTCACTTCATAGCTCTCTTGGATATCAGACTGACTATGGCAGTACTGCACTGCTTATGTTACAGAATCCTCATTTTAATTAATAAAGACCTCAAGTCACAAAGGTAGTGATGCTGACCATGGTTTTGGTGTAACTATTTTATTATCAGTTATTGCTGTCCATCTCTCACCACACCTAATTTACAAATTAAACTGTACCATGTGTGTTTAGGAAATAACAAAATGTAGATAGCATTCAGTATTAACCATAGTTTCAGGTATCTACTGGGGAATTTAAAACATTAGGACATTAGTAAATTGGGACTCCTGTATAAATGTATAACTATGTACATACATAGACACATATATACTTCTCTATGTATATAATATAATTACTGCAGCTGGTAATTAGGATTGTTTTTTCTGTACTGGGTATTGAACTCGGGACCTTGCAGTTGGGAGGCAGGTGGCAGCACCACTGAACTAAATCCCTGGCCCCTTTAATTAGGATTTTTTTGAACTAAAGATTTTAGAAAGTTGCCCTTTGAAAATGCTATACATTTTTAATTCACAAAATAACTCTTCAGAAGTGATTTTAGAGTTGTGCTCTGACAGTCTAAAATGTATCTCTCAAGAAATACATAAAAAGTTGTCTCAAAAATATTGTTATTGACCAGGAATCAATAGAAGAGTTTAGTCTCTAATAGTAGATTTGTTTGAGAATCTATTTGTCATGGTGTGGAAGGTAAGACCCTCTCTCTGACCTTCCCCTGGAGATGACAAATTTCTTAGTGGCCTCTGACTTCCTGTCCCTCTGCCTCTTGAGCCTGAGAAATAGTTGTGTGTCTTTGGTCAGATTTTAAAAACATTACATACATAAGGTATTTGATTGGCTGTAGTATTAATCACAATTTGTAAGATAAATGTATTTTCTTACCTTTGTCAAAGAATTTTGGGCAATTTTGTGCTGACAGGACATTTGTGGCCCTAAGACAAGCATAAAATGTGGTGTGTTCTTGTGAGTGTGTGTGTGTGTGTGTGTGTGTGTGTGCAGAGAGGCAGGAAGTTTGTCTCTGGAAGGTTCAGAACATGTCCAGCACAGCCTTTGCCCTGCATAAACATTATAGCTTTCTCTTTGCCCAAGATGCCTGGAAGCCAGCCTACCTCAGTAGTCCTTTATCTCCTGCGTGTCTGTCCCCCTTGTGTCAGGACCAGGCCCTGGGGCCCACCCGGCATTAGGGAACAACAGGGCCGAGCTGGCGGGGACAATGACTCTAGGCACACACACACACATATACACACACATACACACACAAGCATGCACACACATACACACTGCCTCTCCTCTGCAGATGAGAAAGGGAGCAGGGTGGGAAGTCACTGTCACCAAGGCTGGTGGAAAAAGGCAATCCAAATCTCTATTCTTAGCTCTTTCTGGGAACAGCTTTCCTTCTCCCTGATTACCTTCAGCTCCCGACCAGTGCCCATACCGTGCCATCCAGGGAGCTGGTGGAAATTTGGGCGATCTTTCTGTCTATGAGGGCAAGCAGGACTTGAACCATCATTTTCTGTCTTTCCCCACCCTCTTCTCTGCCAGGGAATGGAAGGGGAGGTAAAATTGTGACGTAGCTCGATGGTTCTGAACACGGGCTTCTGAGTCAGAAAGGCCCAGATTTGTAATCAGTTCTCTTGGAGTTATGTAGGACAGCTTTAGTTTTCTCATCTGCAAAATAAGGATAACAGTAAGTGCCTCAAAACATTGTTGGGAGAATTAATTGGGAAGACACATGTCAGGTGTCTGGTATGTAGTAAGCTTGAGATAATGCTAGATGCTATCACAGCCATAATCATCAGCATTCCCTCTCCATGACAATGGGAGGCATCCTGAGAAACCATCCCCTTACTTAATGATCTATTCGGTCTCAAAATGTAATGTTATTAAACCATAACACCATGTGATTAAAATAAAATCTTGGCAGCACCGGGGAAGCTGAGTCAGTAAATATACGGAACTCTCAAAATGGAAGTGTAGTGATTTTTTTAAAGTCACCCAGAGAAATAGTTACCAATAGAGGGCAGGGACAGCTTGATCCATGTAAAGACAGCACTCATTTTTAAGTTAAGTCCAATTCAGCAGTAGGAAGAGTAATAGTAATTTATGTTTTCTGAATAAGTGCTATTTCTTGTACCTCTGGCCCTTTTTTTTTCAACTTCCTGTCAAGTGGGGTGGTAAATAAAGAGATGTTCATTGGAAAGGGAACAGCAGAAATAGCCAAGGTTGGAATAAATTATCCACTGGATAAACCCATTCCTCACATTCACAAATACAGTGTCCCACCTTTCCTGGGAGCCAGTTATTCAAGGGTTAATTCACAGAACAAACTTGGAGCCCCAGCAGTACACACAAAAGGTGCTGCTGTTCTTCCTCCTTCAAAACCACACTGCAAAAGGAAGGTACAGAAGGGCAGGGTGAGGTGACGTTGGTGTTCGACTACCATTTTTGTCTTAAAAGTACAAGAACAGAGATTTCTGCAGCTTGTTTGAAAAGCCAGAATTTTCAGCTCTCTGCCAAGGAGCAGAGCCCAGACTGACAGGCTTGACGTGTCCCCTCCTCTTCCGCGCCCATTCCGGGTGGGAACACTGGGGACTCAGGATGAGGAAGACAGTGGAGCCTTCAGATAATCACTCTTTCAATTTGCCCCTGTTCGTTTCCCTAGGAAACAAAAGTAGGAACAGTAGCCGGCAGCAAGCAACTGTCTTGTTAGAACCCTGCCTTGTCGGCTCAGCTGTGGCTCTGGCTGAAATCTGAAAGTGGCATTTTTTTCAAAAGGTCCTTTGGCTTCTGAGTCTATGGAGTTTTCACTCTGGAAAGCAATAAAAACGAGTGGGAAAAAAAGTGAAAATTACTTTCAACACCAAGGGTTCGCATACCCCCGGATACTATTTTTCATGCAAAGAACTTTTCATTTTTCTACCTAACAGTTTATGTGTGAGAAGTGAAACTCATTTTATAAAAGCAAAAGTAGACATCAAAAATGAAACTGTGTATCTGTGGAAGGTTAAATCCCGGATCAATCGGGTGTTGCTCGCCCCGCAGACCTTCCTGTGTGTGACTGCTTGTGCCCACATTCCCAGTGGGAAGGGGGCTGGTGCCCCGGCTGCTTCCTGTGTCACCCGTCCCATCACAAAAGCTGGACGAGCTCTCACCGAGGAAGGTGGGGGTATTGACAAAAATCACAGCCGGCTAGGGACTTAGGACTTTTGTGGTTGTTAAACGCGTATTCATTTGAGAAAGAATATTATCCGAAACTTTCCTACGGAGCAGGACTTCATGAACTCCTTCTTTCACCAGCTGAAAATAACGAAGGCTCAGAATCAGCAACCTCAGCCCTGGGCGGAATGATTTTGCTGGGGAGAAAGCAGTTTGCCAATAGTCACCATTGTGAATCACGGAAACTGTAGTCGGAATTCTACCCTATGTAAAAACCCAGTATTGTCAAAAATTGGTGATTGAAAAATATCACACCCGAGGGACTCTAATTGAGGTGCGTGTGTCAGGACTTTTTTCTCTGTGGTCATCAAATCTGTAACATGTTCCTTTAAGAGGCAGAAAAACACGCTTTCCTGTGAAAGACAAGAGTGGGAAAATATAAAGAGGGAAAGATTCATTGCACATATTTACACAATTTAAGTGGTGAATAATCCATCAGACGCATGCTTAAGACAAAGAGCTACCCAGCAAACACTTGAGAAGGACTCTCCCTCCTCTCTGATTCTCTGAGCACTTTCTCTTTCTTTTTGATTTTTCACCTGAAACAATTCACAACAGCAAAAACCACAACCAAAGGATGTGGCTCTGATTTTTTTCAACTCTGACGTCAAAGCACATTATCATTTCGCATATTTAATTTTTTTAAACTTTTGAATATTTATGTCTAAAAAGAATACTGTTAACTTACTTCCTACTCTCATCACCTGGGGGCATTGGTGTTCACATATCTTGCTAATTTTTTTCTAAATCAAAGAAGAGGCCATTTTTGATATGCATGTATCTAATTCTCTGTTAGATTTGAATTTGGGGGGAGGGACAATTGCTAGCTTTTACATATTGAAGCCCCCATGTCAAAGCAAAAGCTCAGTGTCAGGACTGGCATGTGAGACAGATTCCATGAATTGGGAGTTAGAGGATAGAAACAACAGGGGCTTCTGAGAGAAAATGACTCTGCATAAACATCAGGAGTCTGGGTTTCCTTTCCAGGGGTTGCTGAGCAATGTGTGTGGAAGTCGGGCTGCCCGTGTGCCTCTGCTTCCTTCATAACTCATTAATGCCTTTGCCATGGGTTCTTCATGGAGCATCCATTAGGAGAGTGCGCTAATAATAGTTTAATCCCACTACACCCAATTATACAACCCCCTTCACCAGTGTCTGCCTCCCTGTCTTTCTGTCTCTCTGAATTATGTCTAATAAAATAGAAAATGCTAACAGAGAGGATTAAAAAGACAACAAATCTCTCACTTCCCAGCATTCAGCATTCCAAACAGCAACTCTAAAGCCACAAAAACAGCCGGCAAGTGGTTCAGAGTGGATAATGATGCATGTGATGTGTATATGTGCATATGTATGTGCATGTGTGTGGGGGACCAGCCCATCCCTCACTGCTGGCATCAATGCCACCATACCTGATGCAGGGAAGGATGCTGCCTGGTACAGCGAGATGACATAAACACCCAATATTTTATTAAACAACCCATTTTAGAACTTAAATCATTAAACTGCATCTCCATGTGGGCTCTTCAGAGGAACTGTCTGAGAAAAATAATGAATTGTCTGCAAACTTTTATCTTCTCTATTTATTGCCTCCAGTGTTGTGCTCTTTAATTATTAAAATGTGGTATTAATGAAACATGCAATCCTGGAAAGAAAACTACTTTTATCATTGCACAGGAAAGGCAAAAATTTAATATACTCAGCACACTGTGTACACATTACAAATGTATTCGCATCCACCTTCCACATAGCAAGCATCCCCTGCCTCCCCCCTCCTTTACAGCTGCTCAATCTGCAAGAATGTGCAGAAGTAATTTATCTGAAATGGCTACTATTGTTCTTGATTCTGATTTGATTCCAAAAAAGCCAAATAATAGAAACCATTCTGAACATCTACTCCGTGCACCTGTTGTGCGCATTATGATACTCTGCGATTTCCATTTACGTCAGATCTCTTGACATGCCTTTCAGGCTCCGTGTTGCTTTGTTCAACAAAAATCTGGGATGCTAGAAGCTATCATTGCCCCTATTTTATTAACAAAATGGCAATGGCAAATGCTATCGGAGGATGGCTCTGGATTCAAGCGGGGACTGGTCAACCCATGGCCTATCCTACCCAGGGTGCATTTGACTTGAGTGAGGTCTATTTTAATAGGTCCAGGGCCACAATGGAGATATAAGATGGTAATATCACAACTGATTTCCATTACTTGAGCAAAACCATAAGACCATGGCAGTTTCATATTTTTCCCTGTTACTTTGGTCAAAGCATCCAAGGACAGTTGAAGATCTGAATGATTTTCTTCTGGACTATACGAGTGCTCTAGTTTCTTTGTAGATCAATCTCAGAAGGTCTAAGATACCATATACATATATATATATACACATATATATATATATGTATATATATGTATATATATATGTGTGTGTATATATATATATATATATTTAGCTATAGTGCATCATCAGAATTTGAATCTCAATTATTATGGCTGCAGTGGACACTTCCAAATACATCCTTAGAACATTGTCTGACCATAGCCTCTTTCTAGAATGACAGCACAGTTTAGGGGAGGATTATACTGACCTCCAAAGTTACTATACTTTTCTGGAAAGGAGACCTGGACTTTGGCCTAGCCCCAACAGGCACAGAGATTGCAAAGTGATCAGCTACCCATGTCTCCTTTGCTGTCTTTGTAACAAGCACCCTCCATGCTGAGCAAAGTCACACGCATGCATCTCATGCTGAGGGGCCACCTTTACTTATGTCTGGTGACCGAGGCACAAAGTTCAATGGCACTGAGACTTTGTTGTGTCTCGTCAAGTGCCAGTGTCAAGAAATCAATGGTATTCATGAATCAGAAGTGACTCCTTTCAAAAATCTGAAGATGAAAAAATGATTGGACCCACAGAATTTTAGTGTGAGAAGAGAACCCTAAGGTTAACTGTGGCCTTGTCCTACTGTGGGGGGTCAGTCCACCTTCACCATCCCTGCTAGATGGTCTTCCAGGCTCTGTTTGAGCCATGCCTCGGATGACCAACCACAGTGCAAAGTAGCAGTGTGCTCCTTACATGCAGCCCTCGTTGGGCATTTCCTATTCGCAGAGCTGAGGTCAGGTCCACCAAGCAGAGCTGAGCAGGATGCAGAAAAGCAATCATCACCAGGTGGCTTTGTGTGGTGGAGACCACAAGGTCTCACACAAGTCCTGTGCATAGATTAATGCTCTGCTATCACTGTCCTGAAGCCCTTCATCTTGGCAACAAGGCCCACACTTTCATTTCTCAGCCGATTCTGACTCCAAAGTGGGAGCTGATGAGATCTTATATACTAGGGGCTTCTGATGGCATTTTGTCACATGTATATTTTATCTTCAAAATTATATTTTTGTACTGATTTACAGTGCAGTTTTAAGTGGTGGGTTGCATGTGCTTCCTCCATTCTCTCCACCTGCTCTTTGCTCCCCTCTGGGTGACCAAGGTGTGGATCTGACCTTCACTTTTGAAACATGAGCTCAAGTCTTGCCTTATTAACCAAAAGGAGAAGGACATAGTTTAAATTCACCAGAGTTGAAGCCAACAGCTGTAAGGAGTTGGAACACTTGGTTTGTGTGCAGGTTCATGCTTCTTACTGACTCAGGGCCCTTGGAAATGGCACTTTCCCTGAATGTCCTTCTGTCTTCTTCTCTGAACTGGGGACACTTATGATTGTACCCTACAGAGTTGCAAGAAGTGTGCTGGAAGGCAGGGTCTCACAGGGGTTTGCTGACTTTCCATGAGAGAATCTGGGGGGCAGCCTGGAGCTGCCTTGGGCAGCCCACCTGGTTTCTGAGGCCACAGAGATAAGTCATGGAACCCATAAGACAGAGACGCTTACAGTGGATGGAGGCCTATGTGTTCTCCTTCCATGTCCCCACCTGCTCTAAAGGTATCATGCATTGTTTTCCAGTCCTATGGGAGAAGTGCTGTGTCTATAAGGAAAAGCAAAGCTACTGGGACTTTTCAGGGACTGAGAAGCTATCATGCAGCCAGGAGTGATTGTGAAGTGTCCTGGACACCACGCATGGTTTAGTGGGACAGCTGCACTCCAAAGCTCTGGCTTCAACATAAACACTGCCCAGAAATACAGAATCTATTTTTCCGGGCAGCCAAACAAACTATGTCAGGCATATCCAATCTCTGTTCCCAAGGAGGAAGTCTTGATTTTTGTAGGGTATGAATATTCCACTCCCATTTGAAAGCCTACTTCTGCAAGTTCAATGAAAGTGTATTAAGTGGTGGTGACTTTTAAAAGTCTATTATCATGACCAAGTTTATTATTAAATCTGAACCTTATTGATGCATAGCTTGAATTCTACTTTTCTTCTACCAGTTGGTTAATAAAACTGAGTTATAATAAAATGAACTTGTCTTTTGGTAATAAAAGTCTAATATTTCTGAAATGATCAAATAAAAAAACCACACATGAAAGTGCTTCGAAATTATGTTTACATATAACATATTATCATCTTAGAAGTAAATGGCAATGTTCAGGTTTTGGGGAAAAAACCTGAAATTGTACATAAGAAGTAAAAATTCGGAAATTTTAATAGTGGCTCTGCCCAATTTTCACGGTAAATTTGAATTACTTTGAAAATTTTTCAGAAGGTTGCTTTTCTTTTCCTGCAGAACTTTCTGGTTTTGATTTCAGATGAATAATGTTGCTCACATTCTGTATTTTGACTAAGGTCCTCAGGTAGTGATTTGGGGATTTATCAGAATATGAGCAAGGACTCCCTGTAAAGAGACCCAAATCATGACTAAATGCAGTCACTTTCAAGAAAGCTCATCACTTGGTTCTTTAGGACATTTAACTTGTCAACAAGCAGCCTCTCCCACCAGCTTGGCCAATAATGGAGGGCGAAGGTGAAGGTTTTCTTTCTGCCTGGGACCCCGGTTTGGCCTCCTTCTTTGGTTTATGATCTGCAAACTGTGCTTCAGGCCTTAGCACATTCTGGGGTGGTCAGGTCAGCCCTCTGGGTGTTGGGGAGGCCTCATGCTCAGGACACTGCCAATTGCTGAACACAGAGAGCTCAAGGCAGCATTACCAGGCTACTTTAAAATATCCTTCCTGAGAATGAAGCATCCTGTGACTCTAACTTCAGCAGCAATTTAGGCAATAGATTTCACCTGAGTGCTTGATCTCCGTAGCATACATTTCCTTGAATACAACCATAACTTTCTGGAGGCTTTCTTCTCAATAGAGATTTTTTCTAGAAAATATTCATTTCATGTATGAAGTCAGTTGGTAGGAGTGTGATATTTGTTGTTGTTGTTATTGTTGTTTTTGGTACTGGGGATCGAACTTGAGACCTTGAGGAGTGAGATATTTTTTTGTCGACTAACTTAGACTGCAAAGTGGTTGTCATGAAGAAAATATATTAAACTGATAAAAACAAAAAGAATTCATTACAAGGAAAAGATGGGCAAGGAGAAAGCACATGTAGTACATAAGATGTAAGTTTAGTCATTTCTCTAAACTCTCCTCCTGTTGGATGCATGCTCAGAAGACAAACCAGAACCCTGCATTCTGTTTATCTCCTCTTGCCCAGAGTTACTGTCTCCCCAAGGGTTGTAGATCTCACCTTGGCTGCTAGGAAGGTAAAGCACAAAGGTGAGGGCAGAGTGGAGTCCCGGGGTTCCTCCTGGCCAAGGAAGCCAGTTTCCACCAACACAGTTGTCCAGGACATGAGTATTGGCCGTGCTCACCTCCTGGACACTCAGCCTCTTCTGCATTGCTTCAGGCCCTAGCAGATGTGCCTGCTGGATGCCTGATGTCCATCTTTTAATGTCTCTGCTTCCCACTGTCCCCTCAGCTCAGCGAGTCATGTTCAGGAGTGTCTTGGTCCATTTCCTGTAGTTCTAATAGAACAACAAAGACTGAGTAATTTATAAAAGAAAGAGGGTTTGGCTTATGATTCTGGATGCTCGGAAGTCCAAGAGCCTGGTGTTGGCCAGGGCCCTGTGCTGCTTCAACTCATGGTGGAAAGTGGAAGGGGCAAGCAAATGGGTGTGGAAGAGACAACGTGGGGTCTGCCTTGCTTTGCAATGATGTCTGCATGGTAGCAAATCCAGTCCATCCCCCTCAATGGCCTACTCAGTTCTTAAAAATTACACCACCCAGCACTGTCCCAAATGGCAACTAAATCTCACTATGAATTTTGACAGGCACCAACCACATCTGACCACAGCAAGGTGTGTATTTGCTCTTGCTGTACTTCCTAGCTTGAGTGAGCTTGGGTATATTTATTTCACCCAGAATAGGAAAATATTCTAAAAGAGAGGCTAGTATCATGTGGATCTAATAGTCATTCCTATTTTATTATGACTGACAGAACCCTTATCAAAGAACACAAAATAATATGTCATTAAAATCAGCAGATATAATAACTACATCTGCTTTAACATATTAATTTCCAGACGGGTTCCCATTAAGTAAAAAACCCTTCTCTGAAATTGACTTCCAGGTGCCATGATGGGCTCCCAGGGAACAAAGGGAAATACCACTTTTCATGCAATCACACACATCTACTTTCATTGGCCCACGGAACACGGCAGAATGCTTATCAATTGCGAGTCAAACTTGTTCTCTTTCCATTTCTAACCCACTTTCTCATCTCTCATTCCTTCCATCTGTTTTTCTTTCAGGAATGTGAGAACATATACACTCACGAGTGCCTTGATAGCCGTGTTATTAAAATGTCACTTGCCTGGTTGCTCTAATTTTTATTTTACTGGAAAGTGGAATGCTGCATGATACAAGATATTGGTTTGTACCCATCTCAAAAGATTTCAGTTTCCCAAATGGAAGACACATGTCTTGGAAAGTTGTCTGCCTTTTTGGGGTTTCTATCAAAGTGTTCAGAAGGCTTCTCCAGATGAAAAGCAGAAGAAATACTGTAAAATTATCACCTCATCGCTTGAACAAACCCTGAGCTCTGTGGCGCAGAGCGGGGTGGCTTTTCTTCTCTGTCTCTCCAGGTTGAATAGCAGCTCCAGCCTATAAAGGCAACCAAGGTGAACTCGCTCATTCCACACAATGGGGCAGATCGTGCACCACAGGGTGTTCTGATAGTATTCCGTCCACTCTGATTTTAAACATCTAAGCAATGAGAGTCCCTCCACTTCCCCTGCAAGACTGCCCTACAGTCTAATAGACCTCAGCATTAAGGAGATTTTCAATTGGTAATTGGTAATCAACCTAAATTTCCCTTTTCTTAATTTCATCCCATTACTCCAACCCCTATCCCCTGTTCCACCTCACTCCTCACCCTCATTAGTGTTTACACTTTCCAAATGCTAACTCAGACCTGGTGGAAGAAAGGAAAAGCACTCTCAGTCATCACTGAGCTAGACCAGAGATATTTAGTTTTTTCTTTGAAATATAATTCCATTCCTACAGATTCTATTTTTCCCCAAAATTCTCCACGAATATTAAGAGATTCAAGTATTTTTAATGAGCAAAATGAAAGGAAGAAAGAAGGAAAAGTCTGTAAATGGGGAACACAGCAGTCTATAATGGACTAAGGGGAATAGATGCATTCTTAATGTGGGTGGTGATAATGGCATAGCCAGATTCACCTTCTTTTGCCCTTTAGACAGACGCAGAGCAAAACTTTGAAACAACTGGATGAAGACTTTCTCCCACAAAGTAGTCTATGTTATGTTCATTCTTCTCCTATGTATGTATATATATTCATCTCTAAGACTCTGTGTCAAATACATACTGTATATTGTAATATATACTAATACATATGTATGTAGTGCTAGTAACAGTTTGTGTCACTGCATATACTATGACAAGGTGGTCTTCTAGGTGAAGACTAAGCCTTCCTTTATCCTTCATTTATGACACTATTTTTTTCATGACAAGATAATTTCACCTGTTTGTTTTAATGGTAGACTCAAAAGACCATGATTCACTAACAAAACTTTCAAAGTAATACATTTAAAAAATTTGAGATTTCCATTGTTTTTCTTCAGTATGGTAAAACTCTGTCCCTGGTCTCTGTTTAAGAAATAATTAGATCCCTCTTGTATTTCAATCCTTATATCCCTGGTTTGCCCTGTCTTTGTTCTTCCAGGCTATGATCCTCTTCAGCCCTCTGAGCTGTTGTTGGAATTGTTTGTTTCCTGTTTGCATTCCCCTGGATACTCACTTTATGTGAATAAACAAACCAATACAACAGAAGGGACATTGCATGACTTTGGAAAGTTCTTCCATGGACAATGGTTTGAAGCCCTTAATTCAAGTATAACATGACATTTTTTGCTATAAATATTTGGCATTTCTAATAATATTTTTGTACCTTTCCAGAAACTTTCTAGTTGAAATCCTGAATATTTACAGCCATTACTAAATTCAACAGCCCCATGATTTCCCTATATAGGTACAGGACCAAGACATAAGAGTATCACCATCTCTATTACGTCGGTACACAACACAAGGGGAGTTCTAGATTGTTGTATTGAATTCTGAGAATTTCTTGTCTACATACTTTTTGGCAGCATCAACAGCCCTTTAAGTTCAAAACAACAGAAAGAAACTTGAGCAAATTTAAGCAGAAGGGAGAGAACTGGCTGAGATAACACACTAGCATTTCAAAGAACTCAACATGAGTTGACCAACCAGGTCTATGTAAGGAGAAGAAAATTAGCTTCCAGATTTCTGGAAAGAAGTCTAAAACTTATGTGTCTTCTGCCACATTGCAGTGATGCATTCAGTTCCAACAACCCTAAGCAAAGGGGCTTCAATGTTTAAGTTCTAAACTCCTGGGAGAGCGTGACGGGCTCTCTTTGGGCCCCTCTTGAGCCTGATACATGAGCTCTTCCAGGAACATGGATCCTGGACAATAGCAGGAGAACTAGGGCCCTGTCTTGTGCGACAAATACCTCTTTCAGAGATGGAGGAATTGTGAGAAATTCACACACCAGAGACATTTGACTCTCTGGAATTAAAATCATATTGCATGGAGGTATTGAAGATTAGTTTGACTTATGCAATCAATACCGAGTCAATGTTCCTTCCCTCCTTTTTCTGAAGTTGGTATATGAAGTCTCTAACACTCCCTTGGGTCATCAAGCATTGATATTTATGTGACAATTTCGGATCTTTCAAGTGTAGCTGGGCTGTAAAATTTCAGTCACAATATAACTTGTATATAAAATGAAAATATAATTTATTTTCCTTTCTTGTCTGGGCTTCTTCCATAGCTCTCGGTCAGTAATGAGTGAGGACAGAGGAGAGAAATTAATTAAATGTCCAATCAAGTTTAGAGCTGTCAAGCCTGATCGTTTAAACTGTCTTTTTCAGTTGATGTTCATTCTTCCATTTGGATAAAATGCCTAATATCTTAGGCTTTCTTCTCCACCCCCTTCTTCCTCTAAGATGATTTTTGGTGTCTGGGGAAAGGCGAATGAAACTTATGGGTCCCAGCGGCCTTGGGAATAAGTTGGAATTCTTGGGTTCACAGGGAGGAGCCCTGTGTTATCCTCTGACCTTCTGGTTACCCTATCTACCCTCTGAGGTCTAGATGCATGTCTGCATTCCTGACAGTAGGTGGCACTGGAGAGACCTCATCAGCCCTTATTTGGAATTGGGCAGTGTGACCAGGAAAGAGTTTGCAACTCCTCCCAGGGAGGTGACCTCAGTCCCTTTCTCTCCATCACTAGAACCCAGAGTCTCCTCCTTGATCTCTGTTTGCTGTGAGAGGGCGACCTCACTTAAGCCAGTAGTACCTACAATTTACATAACCAAGAGAAGCCAACAAAGCCCAGTCCCTGCGCCCCCTCCCCCCAGCCCGCCAACCCTGTGACATTTCCATGTAGGCCTTATAAGAAAGATTGAGTCAATTCTCCAATCATTGGAGGACAAACATTGTGTGGAGAATACCTATGTGACTTAGGCCCGGTTGAACCTGGACTTTAAAATTTGCTTTCATGGGATAAAATATTGAGGTCTAAGATAACTTCCAAGTGCAGTGAAAACTCAGGTTAGACTACATAAACTTTTGATCTGATAGATCAAGTAGAAGTCTTCTCTCTAACAGTAAAACTAGGTTTGAAATTGTTCAAGGACTAACTTTACCTGAATCTGGGGTTTTTCTGAGGCTGCCTACATGGAAATAGAAAATCTAAATGTTTGCAGCTCCTGCTGTAGTTTCTGGATCAAGAATATCTGTTTTTACTTCTACACATATCTACACAAAAGGGGAATTTTTTCAGACTAAGATGGGCATGGTAAATGACCTTTCTATAAAATACAATGCATGGGAGCAAAATAAGCAATTTTATTCCAAGTCCAGTGTGATTTTTTAAATTATTATTATACTTATTTTTTTCCAGTGATGTTTTCAGAAATAGCTCCAAAGATTTGTTTTCAGTGGTACCTACCCCAGGTGCTCAGGACCTGAATTATAATTAGCCTTCTCTTGTTTCTGGTTTTTAACTACTTCATCTACAGAAATATTAAAAAGTATACTTTCCATATCACTCTTGTTCCATTTTTAAAAACTGCTTCCTTTTAGCCTCCATGCATCAGACGCTTTGTAGGTAACCAGGAAGTAGCTGCTGAGTGTAAGTCAACTGAACCCATTTTTCAATTTCACACTGGTATTGTCAGAGAGTGTTTGTTAGGACTCTCCTTCTCCCATGCCTTTTCTCTGGCCAGACCTGACCTTTGTAGGACTCATCCATCCTTGAGATTTGGGGTCCTCTGGCTAAGTTGTCTTCAGGGAAAAGGCACACAGGTTTTTGGTAGACTCCCAGACCTGGCTGGTCTCTGTGGCCCCGAGTGGGGGGTCTGTGTCTTTCAAACCTCTTTCCTTTCCCCAGCAGTGACTTCCAGGCAGTGTGTATTTGGCTCTGGAGAGCAGAGGCCTCTGGGCCAGGCTCAGTCTGTACTTCCTGTCCCTCGTGCAATCCCATCAACAAAGAATTCTCAGGCTCTCTCACTATCTTTGAAATTGAGAGTGCGAAAGAAAGGTGCAACAGAAAAGAGAATTCTCTGTCTTTGGCCAGAACTTACATTTAACTCCAGAGTTGTTTCCTTTATATTCAGAGGGACCCAGATAAGCCAACATACAGGGTCAGGGTATGATCATCAGCACATTAGTGATTCTCATGCCAAGCACCACCCTTAAGGTCATCATCTCCAATATTTCTCCCAGTGACTGTATTTAGCACTGGCAGAAAAACTGAGTGGTGCTGTCTATGCAGCATGCGAACTAGAACTCGAGGAACAACACAGCAGTCATGGGTAACACCACAAGGCAAGCAAGTCCATCCTACGGCAGGGGAACGTCCCACTTCATAAAGGTCCTTCTCCCCAGACCTCATCATGGGCTCAGTCACGCTGTGACATGGAGTCCAAGGTTAAATCATTAGTCAATAAAAATATCATACTGCTTAATGTTAACCTTTGGAGTATATTATACATCTGCCCAAACTGTGGTTTAGAATTATCCCAAACCATAGCTTAGATTTTGTTTGTTAGATATATTTATTGATTTTTGTCTTCAAGATAAGCTTCATGACTTTTTGTAATAACATCATTGCTTCAGTCTCTCTTTATATGTGCGTGTGTGTATGTATATGTGTATATATATATGTATTTGTGTATATTCTCTCTCTATGTATCTATACATATATTCATATATATACATACCTGAATTTCAAACATATTTACCTATATATTTTTATGAATAGACTAATGCTCCTTGAATACCATATATTGACATTCTAATTTTTAAGAAAAGCATTTTATTCTTGCTAAAGAGCAGTACTTTTAAAAAAGCTTATATAAGAGCAGAGCAGATTTTACTTCTTAAAATATTCAGTCAGTTACCAGAAGAAGCCTAAATTTATAATAAGTGACCCCTATAAGCACACTTACAAACAAGACAGAAACCAAATTTGCACTCTATGTTATAATCAAAAAGCAGCTATGAAATGATCAGGTGTCTCTCACAGCCAGTACACAGCAACAGACTCACAGTGGGCAGTGCCAGAACTCATACCTGTGTTGGCCAAACTCGCCACGTCCTCTTCCCTACCCACTACCCAGAATCTTCCTCAAATGACACCATGCTTCCTGTTCATGCTACTGCTTCTTCCGTGTCTTTAACTAACTTTCATTTTGTTTCTCGATTGTTTTAGACCCTAGAAGCAGGGATGACTAAATGATTAAAGCTTTGGATGAACCCCCTGCCTTGAAGCTCTGGGCTAACAGGTGCAAAATAGGGAACTCAGAGATTTTATGGGAAAAGCATAATTTATTGTAATGGCAAAGAGCTCACCCATCAAGTTTCAGCAATGGTATGAAGAAGTGCTCTTGGGGGGCCCTCACCCAAAAATACTGGGATGGCTATAATACTATGGATTTATATAAGTTTGTTTCTGACCCAATACAAAGTTGTGCAACATGACTTACTTTTTATTTGTTTAGGGGGTGGGGGTGGGGCTAAATCCCTAGAAAGCTAATTAGTATTTTTATCTGTGAATGTAGATCCTAGGTGGGATTCCTTATGTACAACCCCTTAGCCAGAGTGAAGTTACTCCCCGCTCCCCTCTTAGACAATTTATTTTTCATTTGCTCTATATCCATCTTTACCAGTTTGCTATAATGTAATTAGATTAATGACATGCCAATATGTAAGACAGGGAAAAACATCTTTTCCCTTATGGCACCTTATGAATCGGTCAAGGGCAATGACAACTTCAGGGAAAAATTTGGGCTTGGAAATGAATTCCCACGCCTGTCCATCCCCTGGCATTTCACCACCTTATCTACAGCGTCTTCTGAGAGTAGCACAGCAGGCTGTCCCTTCATCGCCAATACTTCTCCGAAAGGTGGGACGAGGGTAAGATGAGCATTTGACACAGCCAGACTCTCCTGGCTCCCAGTGAAGGTCATTGTTTAAAAGGAGCCATCTTTTGCAGTAGTTCAGTAAGCATCACAATGCATTTTATACAAACTGTACCAAGATGGCACAACAATTTAGTCCCATGGAAGAGTCTTTATGTTCTATTTTCCCTCCTTCTCTAAAATGGGCGATTGCTTTTCTGCCAAAGCAGCTCACAAGGGCCATGAAAGCTAAAGTCCTTCAAAGCTGTTAACTGCATCTTCAAATTTACAATAAAATTCAGCGCGACAAATCTTCCAGTAAAATCTCCGGAGCATCAGAGCAGCACTTATTCAATTTTCCTTTCAGTCAGTATTTTAGTATTCAACACCTGGAGAAACACGGAAAGCCAATGTGGGCGAGGAAAACAACACAAAACAAAAACCAAAATAGAAAGGAAAAAAAAAACCCCAACAACAACAAAGACAGAGAAAAAAATGCAAACAGCCAGGCAAGCTATTAAACATATGCCAAAGTAAACAATCGGTGCGGGCTTGCCGTGGCTGTGCCCTGCAGGTAGAAGGTACAGAGGCGCGAGCTAGGAGAGAGAGCAAATGGAAGGGAAGAGAAAGAAGCAGGAAGTAGGGAGCTGAGCCGGTGAGCCGGTGAGCCTGAGCTGAGCTGCCTGAGAGGAGCCTCAAGACACTAGCAGCCATGCAAAACAGGACATACCTTTCTGGCTTGCTGCTTCTGTCCGCTGAGACAAAGCAGGCCCATTCGCAGCGGGAGGCCAAATCAAAATGAAATTTTATTTAGTCTGCACTGTCCCCAGATTGGGTTTCAGAACAACTGCTTCAGGAGATAGCATGGATGTGGAGGACGCATGCTTTGCATATGAAACTGCAGTAGGAACAGAAATCTACATAATCAAAAAAATCTGTGCTCTGTGTGACAAACACCCTGGGCTCCAGTGTTGCTGCGGCTGTGTAGGTACCAGACAGGCCCTTTCGAGGTGGAATATATATATATATTTAAAAAATACTCCCTAAACAGTATGAGCAACTGATCCTAAAAAATAATCTGTAATACTCTAGTTTATGAAAAAATACGGCTTTTTGGTTACAATTCTGCCACACTTGAGTAATTGTGATTTGTGTTTATTTATAAGTGCCTCAAAAATTTGTGTGAGAAGACAAATTGAACTGTAGAACATGTGCAGGTTATTTTTTGTCGGGGGGGGGGGTGCCCAGAGAGGAATTGTAACAATTACTAGACCCTCTGAGGTTTGAAGAAAATAAATTAAAAGTTTAAGCTTTAGGCAATAATGAAATAAACACTGAAAATCTCTTGGACTTCTCTGTGAAGATACTTTATTTGTATTTAGATACTTTAAATTATTGGTGTATAGATGTGATACATAATAATCACGCCCATTGGAGAGAACTGGAGCATATACATATTGCATCTTGACCATTTTAATTTCTTCTCCCCTTCCCTCCCTTCTCCAGCTCCCCTTCCCATCTCCACAAACTCTACCTTCCTGTTTCCTGTCATCTTGCTTTTATTTCGCTTTTCAGATTATTTCTGTTTTAGCTTTCTCATATAAAAGAAGTGATTTAAAAACAGGCAGAAAAATCTTTCAGAATGCTTTTTAGAATTGGAAATTTTATTTTTAAATTTAAGAATAGGGATTGTATATAGAATGCATATCATGGACTCTCAATACGTGTGCATGTGTGTGTGCATACACGCACATACATACACACACACTACACACTGGTCACGTTTCTAGCATGGGATCACCCCCTGCACTGGTCAAGATATGAAGAAGACAGTGAAATAAGGGGCAGGGGAGAGCTTGTTGGTAAAAAAAAAAACAAACGCTATTTCTCAAAGAAATAAGCATCCCGGCTGGGTTTGCATAGATCATGTCTTTGAAGTTGAGTGGTGCCACTCATTTCGTCTGGAGAGGAAATAAAAATTTTAAAAATTGAAAGAAAGCCTACCTGTATAAAATAGAAACAATAAATAAAAAAATCTAGCCAAAACAGCCTCCGCCACTGCACTGTGCTCTGGGGCCAGGGACAGTCCTCATTCTGCTGCAGGACAGCTCCCAGGAGGACAGGAAGATCTGCCCATGTCGCATCTGAGGGGCAAAACTTCCCCCAACAATGAGACAGAGAGAGCTCCCACAACACAGACCCTCAGCACAGGGACCCAGACCCTTGGAGAAACAGTCAAGATGAATTCTATGATTCTGGTTTAGACAGCATGTTCTTAGAAAAAAGCGTTTTCCTGTTCGACTTAGCTTTGGCAACCAGTCCAACATAATGGCCACAAATGCAAAGGTCTCTTTAAATGCATCATTTTGCGTGAGATACCGGGGCATCCTGTCTGGCTGTGCAAGCCACCAGTGTAATTAAAGCCTAAAATCCAGGGAGAGCAAATGCAGTTTGTTTCCTTTCGGCCCCAGAACCACTGCATCAGGTCTGCTATAATAAGGGCAGTGTGCTGGCTTCTCAGTTGCTTTCAAGCAAGACCCTCTTTTGCCTGGCCTTTCGTTTGCAATTATTCAGATCGTCATTAAGTAGGAGTTTCGCCTGCATATTATTTTTATAGTGACAGGACACCCCTTTTCTCTGGAACGGGAAACTGTGACTCCTTAACAGACCCTTTATCCCCCAAATTCAGTGCACCTGGCATTCACTTTCTACCTAATAAGCATCCGTGAATATGCAAATGCTGGGTGTCTCAGGAACCTCATTAATTTATTCCTCAGGCAATTACAGAATGTGAGCGGGCCTGAACCACGGGTACGGGCACAGCAGCCGGCCTGGGCTGCGAGCATCCGCTGAAAGCTGGAGCTGCATATTGAAATACTGTTTCATCTTCCTCCTGTCCTTTGGCCTCCTTCATTCAAACAAAGACTCTCACCTTCCCTACTTAGCTGACAGACGAAAGCAAAGGAAAAAATAAAATAAAATAAAGAAATACAAATGCCTAGGGTTAATAATAAAGATCTTTCCTCCACTGCCAAAGACAAACCAGAGGTGATTCTTGGTTTGAACAAAATCTCCAAGGCAAAACAGTTTCCAAACTGCCCTAGTTGTGGCATTTTGTTATTTACTGGGGACTGGGTGTGAGGGGAGAGCGGAGGGGCGACCTGCTTTCCATACTGCAATGCAGTTGAATAATCTTTCGCTTTGCCCACATTAAAAGCCCTGAATAATGTTTATAAAATGTTAGGGAATCCCGGTAGGTTTCCTATTTAACAAGCCATGTATGACAAATCACAGTGTAATGTACTACGTTCTTAATCTTTAATTAGAATGTGAATATCTGCTAGACAACGCAGTTAACTTTGACACGTTAAATCTTCTGGTTAAAGTGCCTTACAGGAAGAGCAAAGATGAAACACTGTAACAGTCTCCCCTTCTCTCCATTCACCCAGACAGTTGGGGAAGGATGATAACATCTTGTAATACCTGCTCTGTAGTAATTAATCGCTGTGGTATTTAGGACCATTCAAGTAGACAAATATGACAGAGACAGGGACAATTAGAAACCTTGTTCAAGCTACATTAACTTTTCCAGCTATTACAACGCAGCCGCTCAAGTTTGCTTGTAAAAGCTGTAGAGGGATTGCTATGCATTAGCCGTGTGATTATTAATGAAAGAAAAGGAGAATTGTGTTTATTGTAGTTTGAAAATTGCAAATAAATTTCAATTATCTGTTATGTCATTTTGTTAAACATGCACTCTGGAAATGCCTTTGTACTCTACATCATGAGCTACTTACAGCAAACGAATACCAGGAACTTTCAGGGAGACTGGAAGTCAGTATTTTTGTTGAACTGGACTTTTTTTTGGTGAGTGAAATTGGAGATGGGCAAAACCACCTGAATGGGCTACTCAGGTAGCAGGCTCTGCCACATGCTGGCTTATAATTGGGTGCTAGGGACCAGCAGGCACTGCGTCAGGTGTCAGCAGAGGACATTAAGGCAATCTGACCACACTGTCATAGGAAACCAAAGGAGCTTGCGGTCCTTCGGGAACATCCTCAAAACAATTATAAAAAAATCAATTACGATAAATAATCTCTGCCATCTCTGCCCCTTCTAATAACAAAGCTGGTCTGGAGGAGGGAGGGTAAACCTAGGGGAGGTTCCTGCGAGCGCTGCAGGTGAGGAGAGCCAGGGTTTCTGGCGGGTGGTTCGCGTGTACGGCTTTCATGAGGATAACTGCCAATCACTTTGAATGGCAAACTTCATCTTGAAATGCATGCACACAGAAGCAGGAAGAAACACACCCGTTCCTCTGCTGCCTTTTGTGAAATTATTCACTTCTCAGAGCACACAGACATATACATCTCATACCAAACCTGCCCTGGGTGTCTCCCACCAAAACCACACCCTAGAAGCACTTCCCAGGGCTGATGAGATGGATGTATGTCCTGAGGCCCAGAAGACGTCCTGCATCCAAACCTCCCATCGGGCCTGCTATCTTCCCCCCAGGCCTGGCTCATGACACCCTGCCCCCTTCCAACAGTACATTATCTGATGCTACTGCTCATCAAGAACTGAACATGGAAAAAAAAAAATTCTGGTGCGGCCTGGAGCCGCGGACCTGATCCAATTGTCTTCTGTAAATCAAAGAAAGACCAGCTTAGCATGGCACAAATCTGCATCCCCACCCCGGAATCTGTTGTCACACACACACACAAAAACCCCGCTCAGTGCTCAGGAACAATCCCCCTCTCAGCAGAGCTGCGATGATGTCAGCCTTCTGATTACAAACTGCTTATTTATGCTTCAACAGCTGCCAAGAGCAGCGAATAAGTGGCTAAAAGAGTGTCTAGACCAGGCTTTCAGGCCCCTATTGTCTGGGGGTTGTTACCTGGTTGACAGCGATGGGTCCAGCTGCTGGGTGTGAAAGGGAGCAGGGTTGGCGAGGCAGTGATTGACAGCAGGGCCCTCTGGGTCAGCTCGATGGCCCCAAGTCTTTATGCTGCTGGCTCCAAAGGGAAAGGCAGGGCCCAGCCTAGAGGTTGGAGGTGAAAGGAAATGTTGGAGGGTAATGAAAAAATCTTTTGGCCGAATTTGCGATCATGAACACTTACTCCCGGGAATCAAAGCCAGGCCAAATGGCCATAAAGGAGCCAGAAATGGGCACCTGGGGCCAAAGGAGGGAGCCATTTCTGCTGAGCCTCCCAGGCCTGCAGGCATTGGGAGAGGACACGTGGGCATGCAGGAATCTCCTTTCCTTTTCTCTTGCTCTCTTTCTAATTTGTTGTCTGGTGTGGGATCGTGAACCTCTAGCCCATGCCTGTGTGACCACTTTTTAAACTCGCCACCCTGCAAGTCTCAGCAGAGTTTCAGCAACCTTCCCTTTTAGGGCTTTCAATAGGAGGCTGACGGAATATGAAACACTCCAACATTTGGGGAAAATAAGGAGCTTTGCAAGCTGACGTAAATGTCTAATTAGAATTTTCCACCACCAGCACTTGCAACCTTTGAATGTTCCTTCCCCATTTGTTTGCAACCCTGGTTTCCATTTGAACACTTTTAGGGGGGGATTTGAATGTACCAAATCGCTGCTCACAATTCCTGCCCGGTGATTGACACCAGACAATTCTGCTCCTCCCCTCAACACTATTTTATAGTTTGGGGTTCTTAGGAAGAGAACACTGCTAACTACTGATCACTTGAACATAGTAATAGTAATCATGAAATAATTTCCTTCATGTGGCCGTCCCCTGATTACCCCACTTGGGCCCTTTGCTCTTTCTCAGGAGCTGAGCATTATTCTTTTGACACCCTTGTTCCTAGAAGGACAATTAATAAAGTACAGCTCTAAAGCAGGGGAGGGGCAGCACTACTGCCCAAGCCCTCACATTCTTTCATTCTCTT